ATTGTTACTGCAAAAGCCCAAAATGAAAGCTGTTCACTCTTGGTTCATAATTCACCTCCATTCCTCCAAAAGTGTTTCCTCCCCACCAGTTTATCTCATCCTCCTTCCCGCTGTTTTCTTGGCTGTTTTGCTACAGCCATCTGAGAAACCTTTTTTCCCTAGAAGTTGCAACATGACCACAGCTTCCTGTGAAGCTCCTGTGGTCATTTTTGCTCGGTTTGTCTTGTGCTTAAGAACACAGGGGCTGGTATTGCCAGAACCACAAGAATTCCAGTGCCAACCCCATCTGAGCTGCAGAGGTGTTCACCAGTACTGTAAATAGCTGCCAGGAATAAGCTGATCACTTTGCAGTGGTTGTCCTGTAATTCCTTCCTACCTCTAAGCCTTCTGCCCATCTGCCTGAAAAAACCCGACATAGCAAAACAAAACAAAACACTACAAACCCCCACATACACCTGGACTATTGTTCAGAAAAAAATTATCCGTGCCAGGCTTAAACTAGAGGACACCTCTTGTCCTGGTTAAAAACTGAAGTGTTTCACAGCCAGGAGAGATAACACGTGCAAAGCTGAAAATAGTTGCCACACCATGTTTTTGTTTTGTTACCATGACAGCAATTACCAATATTTTGAAGAGAATGACTGCTCACTGACACAACACAAGGACAATGGGAAGGTGTGTTTTCTTCACCAGTCCAGGAAGTCTCATTGTGTGCCCAAATGCAATTATTTCCTATGATGTCTAGGCAAAGTTATTCATCAGAAACAGAACTGCAGATAAGCTGGAGAAAAAAAAAATCTGATTCAGAAAGGACCAGTGCAGAGATACAGAAGTTTTAGGATTTTGCCTCCTCAAATATTTCTTACAAGAGGCAGAAATGTAAAGGAAGAAAAGCCTCGGTATTTCTCGTATTTAAATTCTCTGTCAGCTAGAACATAGAAACACTTTGGCAAATAGGTGAGAAATGCCTGTTTTTGCTGCCTTTTATACCTATGTCAGTGTCAGAATCAAAACCTCTTACTACACTCTACATAAGGTATAGACCAATTATATTTTGAAAAAAAGCATCAAAATGAAGCTCCATAGCAGTTGGTGGAATTCTTCATATCTTCCTAGCTTAGACCTATCTCCTACTCCAGAGAAAGAGATTATGGGAAGACCTCTGAATGGGATAACCTCATTTGTCATCTCTTCCAAGAACTGCCAAGCAAGAAATGCAGCATGCTGCTGGATTTAGAGGTCTCTGTCTTCCTTTCCTGGATGTCTCCAGCACTGTAAATGGTTATGGGACACAAGACAGCTGACACACAACTCCTCAGCTGATAATACAGAGAATGCAAATGACAGAAAACACACAACTGCAGGCACATCAGAGTTTCAGCAAGGCTGTTACTCATCTATAAAGGCATGATAATCATCAGCAACCTCGTTTTTCCAGGGTATGCTCAAAAGAAGCAAAAGCAGGGACACAATTAAGATTGTTTTCTTAAACACATTGCAAAAGACCTTAGGCATTAGATCTACAGCTGTGCTGACTGCTCAACCTCTGTTTCAACAAGAATTACAGTGCTGTCATAAGAGTGCTCCATTGACACTGTACCATTTCCTAGCAACAATCTATGTTTTGTACATAAAAAGTGAATGAACTACTGCCTATCAGTGTTTTCTTTCTCATTATGCTGTTAAACCTTTCTCCCTCTCCCATGTTAAATGAAAAGAGTCTTATTTGGACATTATGCAGAACTGTGCTCTGCAATGTAATGAACTTCCAAAGAAGAAAACCTAACATAAAACAAGGTATTTACTGTTATCCAATTTGACCCCTCTGAAAATAAAGTTGGTGCTAGTTCATAATTCCATGACAGATTCACAAAGTTTTAATTCTGCAACGATGGACTCAATGCCCCATAAGCAAATGGAGAGCTGTGCTCTCACAGGGCTGTTTCTGAGGGGTCTTTCCTTGCAGAAACAACATCCAATCTTACTTTCTGAGATTTATAGTAATTTCTGAATCAGTCTGGGAAAAATCATTCAACTGCAAAGCATTGCCCCCTGGCTTTCAAACATTTGTGGCTCTTCTCGCTCTCCCATCCCCTGCCCCTTTACTTGCAGCCACCATTTAAAGGATCTTTAAACACATAATTGACACTTCCAGTTACATACACACACACCCTCCTGCAACACAAACCTGACTCAGCCACATAAACCGAGTTCTGCAATAGGCAAGTGAGAGTTTAAACACACTAGCAATAAATGCCATCCCTTGGAGACGCCCTAGCCATCCTTATGAGGTGGATTGGCTTCTTATCCCCTCCCCATATCAGCACACAGATCAGCATTTATAATAACACGTATTCCAAGAAGGATGGTAGAAGGGTAGGAAAAACCAAACCAGAAAAAGCAGTGTGCTTCCATCCATACGGATGTAATGGTGTGCAGACTCCAAATCCTACTGTGGCCAGGTAGATAAACAACAGCAAAGCAACAAAGACAAAAATGAGTGGCATGGTAAGAGCCAGCCCTTCACTCTGGAATGTAGGGGTAGAGAAATCTGGTTATTTCTGATGGTCAGCTGTTCAGGTCTCATCTGCATAAATCTCTCATGAGAGCAATGCATCTGCCAGAAAGCAAAAGAACTACATGGCTTAAAAAATGTCTTTGTGCTTTTTCTTTTTTCTTTTAATAAAGAGCAAGGGAGGAACATTAGAAAGATTTTTTTATTTTTCACCTAATATTTTCAGGTAAATTCTGTCCCTGTACTTGTGTATCTCAGAATGTGGACTAAAATTGCTCCATGCTGAATCCTTGTTTACAAAGATGCTTGCTCTGTGTACAATACATTCTCAACATTCCCTTTGCTGCCACTGAAGATGACTGTGCTAAAACATGAGACTGATGACAGGCATACAAAAGAGAAAGGAATAACCACAGTTATTTAGACCATTTTAAATTTTCATTGATGTATTTCTACCCTGTGGAAGAACAGATCTAGGATTTCTCTTAACATTGCTTACATCCTTAGTGCAATACACTTTTTGATACAGCAGTTATTAGAGGAAAAAATAGAAAAAAATGCATTTTATTTTCTCAATTTTTTATAGAAACCCTGGGTTGATTTTACAAAACATCCCTATTTCAGTGATAGCATTTTCCAACTGATGGGAACTCACATAAAGTTTATTGACATATGGTGCCACCTAGCTAGATGTTACATGTTACACACAGATTTGAACGGGGTGCCATGGACGCAGAGTTGTCTCCCAAATAAGCTGAACAGGAAATGTCTACCAAACACAACAAAGGAAAGGTGCTCATCTCAGATTAAATAAATAATGATATATGTTAAATGAACTCACAGAACTAAATCAAGTTTTTCAAATTCTTAGTATTTAAATAAGACCATAAGATTAGAGGCCTTTACTGGTTAGTTCAAAGCTTTTCTGTGTATATGAACCTAAAACCTGCAGACACAAGAGCAAATAAGGTTTGGCTTAGGGAATTTTTACCCTTCAAATAAGTAAGGAAAGGACCAGCAAATTTCTTCTTAAGGCTTTTTTTCAAATAAACCAGAATAATTTGGAAAATGCAACAGTCTGCATACATCTGGTACAACCATAGGCACATACACCAACAAGGAAGAGGAGCAAGAGATTCTCTTTCAGCTCGAGAATCAGTAAAAATACATTGTGACAAACAAGTGACTTAAAGACATTACTTCAACCACTTACTTTAAAATTTTAGCATTTTTTTACCAGAGGCTGCAAACTCAAGAGTCCAATCTTTCCATAAAATTTAGGAGAATGAGATTTCTCAAAGAAAAATGAAAGCTTTTCTTGTGGCATTTAGCGAGCCCCATCACGTGTCTCAGTACATTCAGCACACAGGTTACAAGTCAATGTCTGCCACTTACGAAAAGGCACCACAGCAAAAACATTTCTATTTGCTTCTGAGAAGAAGTTTTGCCCTAGAAACATTTTTTCCCCTGGGAAATGCAGGCAGTAGGCCTAGTGAAGGGATTGTCCAGCACCCATAGAACAGCAGTCAGAGATTGCTGTGCATAACTGATATTGCTTAGGGGCCAGAGAGGCTGAATAAATAAACAAACCTTCCTCAGGCACAAAGTGCTCTCTGGTACACTAATGATGCAAACAACATCCAGCCTTTTATACAACCCAGCTCACAGAGCCCATAAGGGCTGATGTGCAGAATTTCACAGAGTTTGAATGCATTCTGCCTGAAATCCAAGGTGAAGGTATCAAATAAGATACTGCATATTATTTCAGTTTTCAGTAGTAAACACTGCTTAGTTCAAACAAAAACCAAAACAAACCAGCACATTCCTCTAGAGGGGTATTTTAAACATTCTCCTGTGGAATTTTATTCAAGAGCTAAGGCAGGCAATTCAACAGCAAGTGTTCCAATAAAGATTTCCTCACCAACTGCAACTATAATTTAGAGTCTATAACACCAATCAATTTATATCTACTGTATGAGAAATCATACTTTACTAGAGATCAAAAGCACATTAGTTTTAAAGACACTTTTCAAATGAAATTGTTTTGGGAAGCTGCAGGCCGACACAAGGCTGTGGGTCCATGCCAACAACTCTGTCACAGTGCAGCAGATCATCCATGTCACTTCCAAGAAGTCACAGTCATCATGAGTCAGAATGCAGGAGCAGCAGTGGAGCCCAAGCACACTGCGACACACATTTCTAACAACTCCCAGACAGAAAAACCTCACCATGTGCTTTCTTCAGGACTCCTGCTTGGAATGAAACAATCTTCCTACTTAGACTTTATCAAGACTTTACTAGCAGTTATCTGACTTCCCTGATGGCTCCTAAAAACAGACAGATGTTTTTGTTTACAGCTTCATGCAGCATGATGAAATTCATCTTTTGAAGCAGCACATGAATTCAACCCAAAAGTATTTCAGACTTAGTATAAGGAAGCAAACTTTTCTGTGGCAAGAACAACAGATTTGCTATACATCAAAACTGCTTTTCTACTTTTATTAATATTTACAAAATAACGTAAATTCATAACTGTCTGCTTGCACATAGCAATAGTACAAAACCCCTCAGTTTCAGTACTGATGTATTATAAAAGTTTTATTTTGAAATTATTGAAAAGCACACCTTATCCAGGTTTTCCATCCTATGAGATATACACATCATATTAAAAAATACAAGTATTATCTTTGCTTTCTGTTTCAAGATACAAGGGATCACAAAAACATTCATCTTTTTTAAATCCAGGGTAGAAGTTTTGTAAATGAGCACTTTACTGGAACCACCAAGCACTGTTACTCTCAAATTAGGTGCTCTCTACAGTGATTAAAAAAAGATTTAAGAATATGGGGAAATGTTTAAAAACCATTTCTATAGATTATTAGCATTAGGAGATGGAAAATATAACTATGATCCAAATTCATGCAGTTCTTTTTTCCTCTTTGGAGATACTCTTGTCTTAACCTGAACAGTAGATAACAGAACAATTATCTACACAACTAGTTGATAATTGTACTGCAAGCATTTAATGAGTGCTGCCATGATTCTGGGAAAATTATCACTTTTCAGTGTCTGTAAAATACAGATTTTTCTAACACATTTGCAGTTTTTCAGTCAAGATTCACACACCAGTTGATAACACTCTCCCTTAACAAACAAAATGAAAGCAGCTCTCGATACATTGCTAATGACATTACGCACTAATTAGTTTGGGGTTCGGGTTTTTTTATATGTTTGCTTGTTTAATCCTGTATACATGATATTATACAGCAATCCTCATAGAAAAGAGGACAAAAATGCAGTTTCTGTCATAGACAAAAACTTTATAAAAACATAATACAATTAAAATACAAAATAAATATAGTACATGTCAGATTAGTTACTAGTAGCATTTGAGGTTTCTGGAGACTGAAGAAATTCATAGGGATCATGAACCATGTCTTGCTGTTCTCCAACACTCAGATGAGAGGGGCTTCCTGTGGAACATTGGAAAAAAAAAATCAAAACTTTAGAAGTACAGAATAAAAATTAACAATATTTATACATATAAACAGCACGGTTATTTCACATGTTCCTTTTAGACTTTTAAAATAAGACATCCAAATGATATTTAAACAGGAGATTATGAAAAAGAAATCACAAGACTCTTAGTAATTTAGATAATTTTTGGAAAAGTAATTATTATGCTATTACTCTGAGTTGAATAATTATACAAAATGCAACTAAGTATCATCCATCCAACATCTTCTGCCTTCTCAGAAATGGCACCAAGTTCTTAAGCAGTATGTTATACTATCATCCCATCTTACCACTGAATTTTACAGTTGACAATGAAAAGCTCTAGTAGAATCCCACTTGTTACTTGCTGCACACAACTATACTGAAGTAAAATAATCATTATATACTCTTTAATGTAACTAAGGGCATCAAATGCAAAGTGCTTATGGGAATTTTACAGTGAGTTGTCAATTTACTCCGCCAATACTTCAATTACTTCAATCACATCTAATCAAAAAATAGGAAATTACAACTAGTGGTCTTAGTTCTGGAGGTCAAAAGTATGTCTTGTTAGTTACCCCTGCCAGGAAGCACATTTAAAAATTAAAACATGATCAGTCAGCACACTGCTTTATCAGAGTAGTTTCCCACAAAGATTTATGTAAATTACAATGTAAGTTTAAACCAATTTCAAATAGAGCACAAGTACTGCAACTTCTGTGACACAGCTAACTTTACCAAGATGATGTTGGTCTCTTTCAGAGGTATTGGAAAGGGAGCTCAAATTGGATGATGGCCGGGATCCCACTCTGTCAGCCTGAGCTTCATGAAGGTCCTGAAGCAGTTTAGTTGTTTCATCCAGATGTAGATGGTTATCATCATGATCAAGCTCCTTCTTCACTTTTCCTAAGAGCCAACAACCAAAACCCATAATTAGCACATGTACACTGACCCATGAATTACCAAGTCACTATAAAAAAAGTTCTAAACTTAGTTAACACAAGCATTGTCTACACACAAATTACCTCAATCTTGCATTTTCCCTTGCACTTCTGAAAAGCAACAACTGCAGACCTGGGCAGTATTGGAAGATGAAGGAAATGCCACATGGAAATGGCTGAAACTGAACTGACTCCCAGTATTTGAACAGCTGTAAGAGCTTAATTTGTCTCCCCTAGCTGTTAAATGCCAGACATGGACAGACTGGCCTGGATTGGAAGGGACCTTAAAGGCCATCTTGTTCCAACTCCCCTGCCATGGGCAGAGATAGCTTTCACCAGTCCAGGTTGCTCAAAGCCCAATCCAACCTGATCTTGAGCACAGGGATGGGGAACCCACAACATCCCTGGACAACCTGTGCCAGTGCCTCACCATCCTCCCGGTAAATAACACATTTAGTTTGTGGTAAAAGAGAGCCAGCAAGATCACTTAGATATCTAACTCAAAATACAATTAAAACAGAACATTAAATGTATGGAGGCAAAGATATCCCCATCACAGAAAGTTCCAAGAACAGTATCTTCTCCAGCTACACTGATTTTGCAGTAAGCCAAATTAAACTGTGAAACTGCAAAGAACTGGACATATGTGCCGTTGGACACATATGCCAAAATATGGTACTATTTCATACAAAGACCTAAAAAAAAATTCCCTCAACTTTAAACAAGAAGATAAACTCCTTCCCTTCTCTTTCTGAGATGTTAATTTTGCAAGAATTATGAAAAGAAGTAATGTCATAAGCTCTCTCTTGAAGCCAACTAATCTAGCAGTATGATTATTTACAGAAAGGCCAAAGAAGAAAATGTAAGTAGCTTTCATTGGGGCATGAAATTCAAAGTAAGACTGATATGTCTAAACATTATCTATAAAATGGATATTTATTAATTTTTTATTGAATTGCAATAAAATTAGAGTGAGACAACATAAACTGCACCCATGTGAGAAATTTGTAGAAATCTTTTTTTCCTTTAAGCCTTTGATTAGTTTGGTTGTGTTTTATAATTGATAGCTTGACCTCTTTCACATTCAGAATTAAAAGTACTTTAAAACATAAGCAAGTTGTTTGCTTGGATAACATTTCTGAAGACATTTGTCCAGCTCAGCTGCCTGCAGAAATGGCAGCAGTAATTCTTGTGGTATTAAAAGGATAACTATCAAAGGCATGTATTTGAAACAGCATCCAAATTCTTTTACACCACTGAAGATACCAGCACCAAAAGTTTCTTCCAATTTCTGCTCTGGGATATTTCGAGCGGCACAATGATCAGGATTCACATACTTAGGTACCTAATTCCCAAGTTATTTTAAAAGACATCATATTTCTGAGTGAAAGCTTCACACTGATTCTTAAAATCTATGTTACTGTGAACACAATAAATACAAGCAAAGCTATCAAAATAGTGAGGTGCAAATACTGTTTTCTTCAGTTAACAGGAAAAGTTAGCTTGGATAACACATGCATATCTCGAAGGAAAACCAGCAAGGTTTCATTTATAAGCCCTAGACTTTTACCTCTGTCAGATGTACACTTACTACTAGTTTTCAAACACTTTTTATTCTTAGAAAATCCAGCTCTTGTTTAGTCTAAATGGTACAACTAAGCCATAACTGATGTCTTGTATATTTAGTTACTTACCTAATGAACTTAACATAGAAATATCGAGAGATACATCTGAATATGGCTTCATAGAGAGGAAGTCCAAGTCAGAAGTGTTACTGTCTCCAGCAGATTCTCCAACCTATTAAAATACAACAAACAGAAAGATTAGCAAGAGTAACAAGCTGTCATGTTAACTTTACAAAGTTTAAGGCACAGACCCATTCTCTCAGAAGCCTTAATTTAACACCTGAAACTAGAGCATCCCTGACCATCTTGACTAACCTAAAATTGAGAGACAGCTCAAAATGGTTCCTGGACAGACCAGTCACATGAATGGCCAAGGCTTTTATCTCACAATTCAGGACTGCTGAAACTCAATTACACATTCAACTCATCCGTGTCTCATGGCAGAACCCCAGCAGCTGGAAGTATTACCAGCATCCCTCATCTTCTCCATATGTGAACATTGGATTTACTGAAATTTTTTGTACAGTTGGCCACCTTCTCCACAGTATCAGCTGGAACTGGCCTTTCTAGTATTTTTCCTATACATTTGGAAAATGAAATACAGCCTGCAGTCTCCAATTCTCTTTTCTTTCCACACCCATTGCAATATTGCTAGTGTAATAGCAGAAAGGAAGAAATCAGAGTCACTAAGCTTCAAAACCCATTCTAAGGGAAATCTCTAAGGATGCCTGATCCAGCAGGAGAAATGAGGTAAACTCAGGTTTACTCAGGTAAACACACAACCAGATATTATCTTTTAGAAATATGAAAATGAAACCTAGCACTTAAATGAAATAACTTAACCAGTCACATTCTACAGAAATCTACACCTTTCCACGAAACATAAGGAATATTTATAAAATTATGATTTATCTTTTTTTCAGTTGATATAATGTGATCCATATAATTTTTATGTGAATTGCCATGGAATGCAGTGTACATCTTCTGTTGTCACAAATAACTTGCAAGATAAAGCCAGTACCACTTAAAAGAAAGATTTGATTTGTAGCTGTAAAAACATAAGATATGCATTATTTACCCATACTTTGTAATAGACATTTTCAATGGATGTGGTAAAACTGATTAATATTAATGAGGTTCTTCCAATTTTACAGCAGGCCAAACCTCAAATATCAATCTTCAGATCAAGTATCTTTTTCAGATTCCTATGGGATCTTTCTGCCACTGAGACTTAGCTATGCATGCTGAAATAAGCTGAAGAACAATAAAGCCACAAACAAAAACAGACTGAATATCAGAGTATTCATCTTCAGTACTGCAACCTTATTCTAGAAAATGTAATTTTCATATTCTACCTCAGATTGTGGACTGAAACAAAGTATTGTCTCAATACTATGTTTTTGTTTATGTTATTTTTCCTGTTGTTTTCCTCCCCTATCCCCCAACCATCTTACCATAATCTGTTTGGAAGAATCCAGACAGGTATTACGCAACTTGTGTTCTTCTTTTATAAGAACTGGCAGAACCTAAAGAACAAAGAAATACTTTAGATCTTAGCATTTCATAGAATATACTTAGTAAGAAGGTTCCCTGAGAATGTTTGTGCAATTTAGTGGTTTTCCACAGTGAGGTCCTGGGCCATCACAGAAACCTGCCACATTCTGTGATGTTTGAGTAGAACCTTCTCAAAAAGATGCTCTTCTCTAGGGCAATCATGGACAGTTATGCCAACAATTCGGAACTAACCAGGACAGCCTCTCTAGGAATAACCTAAAGCTTCTCCTTTCTCATATACTCCACTTACCAATCTTTTCTGTATTACTATACAGAACAGAGGGATATTAAATAAAATAAAAAAAATTGAATGTTGCAAGCTCAGAGAACCTAACTTTCTCTACTTTAAATGCCAAAACACTTTCCCCATTAAAAATCCCCAAATAAACAGACTGAATATTAGCATAACTTACTTTAACTTCTTCCAGTGGTTTTACTGAGATGTTTCGCCTCTGGAAAGAAAGAATACCAGTAACTGCTTACATTCAACACATGAGAAAGATGTCTTTCTTACACCATTTCAAGTATATTCAAACAACACACAAAAGGAGGCAAAAGACAGCCAACTTTTTCACACATCTGTAATGCAAATAGAATGCAACAGTTGTTGTTAAATATTTTAGTATTATGCATTTTAACTAATCTTTGAGTCCCCTTACACTATTTCCTCTGCTCACAAACTTTATATTCAAATGCAGTATCTTTGTCATTACTTCAGTAACTTCTCACAAATCATTCAAGGTTGTACCTTCAGAGATACTAATTCTTACTCAAACGCAGCAGTACAAAATGCTCAAGCATTAAAACACCATGTATATAATCACTGAAACACACTTAATTGTGTAAAATCAATGTATATCCATGTATGTCACAACTGAACAGCATTTTCAAATAGTAAATAGCCATTGACCATTTGAGAGGTCTTCAGAAATTCTCACCTGGAACGACATTCATAGAAAAACGTGGTAAAAGGCAAAGCCACATTTTATTTTAAAGCTAAGTTGACTATGTTACATACACATATTTATATATGTGGAAGAGTATTCAAAATATTGGGTTTTTCTTGAACTAATCCTTTACATTTGTTCCTGTTACATGCACCATCTTTTCCCCTAGGGAAAAAACACCCAGAAAATTCTAAAGGACCATTGGTGTTTTCCATTCTATTGTCTCCTTATATCCAACCACCACCCACCCTTATTTCATAAACACCACCTTACGCTTCTAAGTCTGCAAAGATGTAGCATAATCTCATTTCCACCACATCAGGAAGCCTAAGTACTTCCCATCTTCCCACCCTGCCTCCCTTTCTTTATTCTTCATTTTTTCAGTGTCAGCATTTTAAACAGCAGACAATTATTGCAAACTAAGAGTGGTTTTCAAAGTGAAGATAACATGAAATTTATCTTCAGAGATTTTGCGATTTTTTTAGCTTATTCTGTCTTGGGAATGCAAGCTTTCTCACTAGAATCATACTCATTTCTGAGAAAACTCTCTTCTCCAATATTAGTATGAATCTCATCAGGAAAGTGCTTTTGTAAATAAGTTAAAACCTTTCCCTGTAGATGCACTACATGAATGTAGAAGGTAGCACTGGGGGCTAACAGACACGTGGTACAGTGATAATTAATCTGTTTTTAAACTTTACTTCCATGTTCCAAATAATTAATCCTTCCATGCGAAACACATTTTTTCAATTAAGAAAAAACTCAAAACCTGAACAAAAGCATTGCAATAAACTCAGAAGTCTGTATGTAAGTCATGACATTGAGTGATGAGGCTGCCCAACCTCCATCCAGTTGGTTGGTCCCTGCTATGCTGCATCTCCTGCCTCCTCCTTTCTTGCAGTCACATAATGAGCCACACTGGAGAACTGACCAAGCCAGAGAAAAGGATTCCTCCTTTCTTGATTAATTCAGTCTCTAATTTGGTTTATAGTTGCTTGAACTAAGCTTGCACTACTTAAACTGACAGTGGAAAACAAAGCATCTCACACAGTATAAAAAAGCCAGTATGTTCATTCTTATTCTGATGAATTTATGACACTTCAGTGCACCCAGGACACACCTGCTTTAGCTGATAAATGGTTTTGGAATGGTCACCACTAGTGATCTGGTCCAGAAGATCATCAACTATTTTCTTGCTGTAACTTCCAGCATCCTTCACGAATTCTTGTAAGCTAGCAGGAATGGAGATAAGCATTACAGAAAACATTTACTTTTGTAAAAACTACTTAAACTTAAAATATGTTTTCCCAAATACACTGCACTACACCTACATTTTCTTTTTTCTTTAACTCTTTTATGCTTCTTCAGAAAAGCAATTAAGGCTGTCAGGACATAGGGATTTTTCTTTTATTTTTAATAGTAACGTAGATTTGCAACTTGTCTTTCACAAGGTCCAACTACCATTGATGGCATGTTAGTGGGGTAAAAAACAAAACACAAGCAATAAAAAGCTTGATATTATTTCTTTCCCTCCAAGATCAACAATTTAATGATAAGTGGTATTTTTCTTTTCAAGTAGCTTTAACTCTTCTGAAACCTCTTGAAAAACATCATTGTTTTAAAGCCACTGAAATATATTACTTGCCTTTTAAAATTATTTACAGCTGGGTTTAAAGCAAAACACCAAATCCATGGCAATCTATAACATGCTGTGGTTGAAGACCCTAATAACAAGATCTATATAACAACCTTGCAATAAAATAGAATAGCTTAAAAGGACAAATGGAAAAGCCCCCCCAAAACTTTCACCACCGCCAAAAATCCAAAAGCAAGCAAACAAAAACTAAACAAACAAAATAAAAACCAAGTATGAAAGTTAACTTCAAATTTTATAGTGATGTTTTAAAAAAATAAGTCCTAGAAAAAAAATCAGGATTTGGAGGCTCTTAGTTGAGCTCTAGTTTAAATTACTTTGCAAAAAATTGTTATGAGAAGTTAGCCTTCCTAATAAGGAAGCCCTTACCTTAAGGCACACTGGATCCCAGTTTCATCACCATATGCTGAGTATAGGAGCTCCATCTCATCTGGTTTCAAATCATGAAATATAGAGTTGTTTTGCAAGGAAGGTGCTGTATTGGCACTGGTAAGAAAGGTTACTGCACAGGTAAAAGACACAACAAATGATTAGCACAAGTGTCAAAGATCACTTGGGGGAAAAAAGAGATTGTGTTTTCTAAAACAGACACAGAAAGTGCCATGTATTTTCTCCTCCAACTGGAAGCAAGACCAGTATCTCAAGGACACTTCCCAATTCTAGAATCAGCACAACTATTTTAACATATAAACAAACATACTACTGAAAAATCAAGAACTAAGTTATCCACCCCACGCCAAGAAGAAAAAGGTTCATGGCCACATTCCCTTTTATATTTCTACATTTTGTGTCCATCTATTTTATTGTTGGTTGCCAGTCAGTTTCTGGACAGCAGAGTAGAAACTATTAAAAACTGTCAATAATACCAGGAAAAAAAATCCAGTCTGCAAAATCTTGGTCATATGTTGCAAAAATGCAAATTACTGGAAGCTGTTTTTCAACTAAGTGCAATTACTATGGCAAAACTATTTCCCCCAGAAGAAATGGACAACCATTATTTGAAATCTTCTAGTGTGGCTATAATACCAAGGTAAAATATTAATCCATAAAGTGCTACTTAAATTATGTTTAATAAGAAAAAAATTCAATTTAATAAAAACTGCATTCTGCTACTAACGGAATCATTATATGTTATAAACATAACCAAGCAATCTTTCATATGGAGACAGGTATAAATTGGTATTATTTAATATCAAGTAATTGCCTGAACATTTAATAAACACAAAGTTAAAACATGGTCTTTGGTATTTACCTTTATTTCTTCGCTCATCTTTGAAGCCCAGTGTAGTAAAGCCAGGTAATAATTTGCTTGACAGTGAACTCAGATCCACTGGGTGAGTTTCTTCCTCTAATAATTTGATTTAAAAGAAGGATTAGAAAAGCATTTCATGCTTACAATTTGTGACAAATAATTAGAATTTGCTATTTTAGAGCTGTAATTAACATAAAGACTAAATGTCTTTTAAAATATACATTAATGGTAGGTACTGTAATTCAGGTGCTCCCTTTAAATTTCAAGCCATAAATATGCTTCCATGCCATATTCACAAGATCTATGGCTTATTTAAGTTATTTCACTTTTAAAGTATACAGCAGCACCTGTAATTATTTTAGCAGCTGATTCACAAACTTTCAAGATCCAGGTATCACTGAAATGATAAAAGCAGTCTCTTATGTTGACTAAATGGTTGCTTGTTCATAGAAATCCATTACCATCACTCTGTAAATTTTCAGTGGCATAGTTTTAGAGGCATTAAATCATTTCTATTTTTTTTTTTCTCAGAAATAGTTAATAGGCATAGTAGCAGCCAAAATGCTCAATTTCATTTCAGAAAAATTCACTTCCAAATGACAAATAATTTAGCAGGCTTGCATCTCTCAATGTGATTAGTCAAAAGCATTCATATATTCATCAGTGAAACAAGAGGAAAGCTGTGAAAAAATTCTAATCTCAAAATGTGCTAGAGAAGGAAGTGCTAAATCAACATGACACCCAGCACCAAAACATTACGGCATTTCATTCATTAGAAATTTTCAATACATGTGCATCTTGAGCTTGAAATTAAAGCAAAGGAAAAACATAAAACAGTATAAATAGCATAACAGCAACAGAACAAAAAAACACCAGAAGATTAAGAAACTAAAAAAATTGAGTAAAAACTCATAAATTTAAAACAGAAATTTAGCTAATGATTTAAATTAGGTAAAAAAGAGGTAAAAGATCATTCTCAATTTGCATCCATGCACTGCACATTTACATAGGATTGCAGGATTTTCATTCACCTTTTTTCATTAGATATTAACACTACAGTGTACATGCAGTAAAAGCTTGTCTTCCAAGCTCATTATAAAGCTGTAGCAATGTTTAAGTGCTTATAAGGACATATTATTTTATCTTCTCACTGTTAGCATCAGCAAAATAAAGCATCTGAAAGAGTGAAAAAAAGGAAGGCAAACAGAAACACCTCTGTGGTGTTTGAGGAAATGGTTTGGGAAATAATTAATGAAAATAATAAAAAATGTTTAAAAATTAAAAACAATTTTAAAACTTATCTATATTACACAGGATCTGTATCTACAATTAATACTTCCAAATGTGTTAGAACATGCAAGACTAGAAATGTTTGCTTTAAAGAGTACGGCTTTTACCTTCTGCTTCTGGATCAGATGAATTTACTACACTAAATAATAAAGTTCCATCTCCATTTTTTTTCAGATAACCAATCTGTGAATAGAACCAGAAAGATACAGAAGGAATCATTCAAAACTGTTCACACTCAAAGAAGGAGTTGCCCATTTACAGGAAACTTTAAAAAGCAGTTTTAGCTGTATTGAGATACTGCACTTTGGTATTCCCTTTTTCATACAGAGAACCTTGGGTCACAACTATTTAACACCACTTAGCAAGTGTTTCAGAACAGAAGACTTAGAAGCAGAAGTTCATAAATCATATATACAACACCTTATTCATCTTTCTAAATCAGATCTAAAGTTCTCACCCAAGACAAACACAATTCCATTATCATTAGCATGGAGCCAGCCTTTCTGACTGCGAAGTCTAGAACATATGTTCCTTTTAAAAGCAGAACTGTAAGTCCTATTCACAAAGTCACTGTTTATTTTCAAATGTAGATTGAACTGCTTGTTCTCATGTCGCACCCACAACTTTCTCTACTTAGAATTACTTTTATGAACACACTGCTGATTTCTTCAAGAGGAAGAAGTGCTGTGACAGACCTATTGAGGCAGACAAGCACAATGCTAAAGGTAGATGTGAAAGTCAACAAAGCACACCAGGATCTGTACAGTCCGAGCCAGATCTGATGCAACAAGCAAAGCTAATGTCAGACAGAAACCGAAACTGAGGTGCCCCCCACCCAGGGAGGCAAAGCCCGTCTTGTTGGAGTCCCATGTCCCACTGGCAACTGTAGCTTCCCTGGACATGATCCTGCAGTCCCAGAAGGCAACAACCGACTATACATCAATTGAGAAAAAAAAAAACACTGTAACCTCTCAGTATAAAGAGAAAATGAAAACTGTTCTCTTCCTACAAAAATATTAGTAAGTACTTCCAAGGAAATCAATAACAAATCTCTGCTATTTTGTTTTTTATCCCTCTCCATCTGAAAAAGTTTAAAACTCTCTCCATACAGGAGGCCAAATCTAATATTGGCATACAGTAAAAACAGAGGTCAGAGATGCTTGAAAGAAATACATTGCAGCTTCACCCACTATTCTTCGCAGTTTTACTTAATAATTCAGTTGAGCCTAAACTGACACCATGATCAGGACCACTGCCCAAGAAATGGACATTTAGCTTGAAAACATAACACCACGTCTGCTTCTAAGTAAAGTTTCTTTTGCAATAGTTTTTAAAGAGGTGGAAAATTCAGGATGTGGACACATCCTGATTCTTTTCTCAACTGCAGTGGCCACTAGAGTGACAGATGAGAAATGGGAGCAAAGGTGGGAATAATTGTCCATAAAAGGCAAGGGAAAGAAAGTAAACGTGTCTCAGTACAGATGTGGAGCGAATGCCTGGAGCATTCACTCCAATCCTAGCAAAAGGAAATGAAAGAATCCATCACCATCATCACAGAGCTAAAAAGCCCAGTTAAAAAACTGATCTTTAAGAGAAAACTGCACCAACAGCACCACCAAGCTTCTAACCCTTCTAACCCTTGGAAGAGCACAAAACCCAAATACATGGAACATCAGAATCGCATTCAGGACTGTCAAACTTGCTATCTAAACCTAATCAATAAAAGATCCTTGTATTAGATATTCATGCTACAGCTGACAGCTACTACTTGTAAATACAAAACTACAAGAGTTTACAGACTCTCCTTACTAAAAACAGTAATTTAACACTACAGATATGTTAATTACTGGGGGGGGGTAAGAGAGGGAAATTCTAATAGCCCTTCAACCTATGCCATAGTTTGCTTTTTCTGAGGTTGTAACAGTATTTGTGTGTGTAATGTTATTTTAATCACTTTCAATGCTAAGGGCTGAAATTCAAGATTGAGTAACATTTTACGGTTTCCTGCAAGTGAATTTCCACAGATGTTCAATAGAAGCTGAGATCCACTTAGGATCCTCCTACAGTGGCTTTCAGTAGAAACTAAATGATAGACAACAGCAGTATCTGTTCTGTGGTATTCGACAAACACACATCCCATATGTTCCAGTCTCAGAAAGCCTAACAGTAAAGCCTGTTTCCTCAGGTGAAACAAAGCATTCAGCAGACAGGCACAAACTGGAACTGCAAACTGCCACGTGCAGTAGACCTTGCTGTTGGGTAGATATCGATTGATCCTATCCCGAGCTTCATCTGCTGCATGTTCCACTAGTGCCAGGACATGTTCTTCAGCAGTGCTGTCTGTCAGGCTGCATGCATTCCCCTCAGGCTCAAAAATGCAGCTAAAAAAGAGAAGAAGAGGAGCTGTAGAAATTAAAAGCTAAAACTAAACAAAGGGCTGAATTCTGGCTTTGCTTAATAGAACAATCAGTCCCACTGTTCTCCCAGTGTCAGTCTACTTCAGCATTTAAGTGGAATTATCATCACATTATGAAGTTTTGCAGCAGAAGCTGCAAACTACCAAACTACTTAACTTCAAAAATTTAATTGTTTCTGTACCTTGATGAAGATTAAGTATAAAATGAAGTACAAAACAGAGATTGGGAGTAAAACTGGCATTAATACAAGGTGAATGCTGTATGCATCCTTAGTCTCACACATGCATGAATATGCTATTTTCAAAAATTCCCAAAAGGAAGATGCAGGAAAAGAATTATGTAATGAGGGATAGAAACTGTTGCTTATCAGAGAAAAAAACCCAACAGGCTGCATTTATGATGATTAAATCATACAGCTGCTTACAGAAGTAGGATACAAGTCCCAGTCTAACACGGAGTCCTTTAATTCCTATGTTTTTTAGTATTGGCAATTAGCATTCCTAATCTGAATCACACAATTGCTTGTAATTGAAACTACAGAATTTAACATTTATCTTTCAGTAGGTCCCTTTTCATTAAAGTTCTAAACCAATAAAATCATAGAAAATAAGCATACCCAAGGATGGAACAGGAACATGGCTATCACATAAAATCAGAAAAAGGTAGTATCATAACGAGAAGTGTGAAGATATCATAGAATATGGCAGTCTTCATTATATTTTATATATATAAAATAAATGTTGTACATCAAAGTATTTCAGGGCATTATATGGACATTAGACACTAGGGCCAAACACCTTAGGTACTGGGTAGAGCATCTCCTCACACCAAATCCATTTCTCTCTCCTGGGTTATCTTCTTCCATTTGCTTAGCTAAGAATTTCTCTCTGTATAGAGTTTCAGATCCGATACACAAGTAAGTTTTGCTATTAAAGACAATAAAAAGATCACAGGATCATACTATTATGAGACAAATGTGTTATACTACTTTGTGTCATTGAAACTTTCAGAAAGGGTGTACACAGCAGTAAACTCCTCAACAACTGGCACTTTTTCTATCACACACGACAGAATAATTAAAGGACAAGAATTTTGAGAGAATGTTCAGAAGATTGCAACATCCTAAACAAAGTTTTCAAAAACTATTTAAACATTAGGATGTCCAAGTGATCAAGTCACTTGTTCCTCCATATAGAGGTCTAAGCTGCTTTAACACTTTGCAAACATTCAACTCCTTCTCTGTCTGTAGCCATGAAATATGAAGGCAAAAATATCTGCTATTAGGTTTTGTTTTCCCCTCTAAAGGTCTTACTGTTCACCAAAAAACACAGTATCAATCCTACAAATGCAAAAATACAAGTATTTAAAAATCCACATTAATTAGAAAAAAAAAATTCATTCCAACTACTAAAGTTATATAAATATTGAGAAGAGCAGAAAAGTAGATTTGTACCACAACTGATTGCTGAGAAACTGGTACTAGGATAAAATTAAAGGTAATTTTTAACTATCTGAACTGTATGATAAGGTAGATATTAAAGACAGAGCCACACTGTATAGTTTGGCAGTCTCAATTTCTTGCTCTGTGACAAAGAACGAAGTTACTCCTGTGGTAGAGTTTATGCAAGAATTAATGCTGGACACCACACAAATTATGGTGTCTTCTAAAAAAAATACAACCAAAAACCAAAGCACCTTCTCCTGAAGACTTCTTTACAAAGAGGTGCTTTCAGTTGATTTCTATCCACAGTCCATTAAACAAAGAACAAATTATACTTTCTTAATTCTCTGATACAGCAACAGGTTAGTTTCTATATGTTATCATTAGAATAGCTTCCACCACAGATAATTACTGTTTAAAAATTATTTTTAAAGATACATGTTGCAGTCTTCTATTTCAAAAAACCCTAAGTTAGAATACTACTTCTTCTGTCAGCATTAAGGATTACAAAAATGCTGAAAGTGCAAAAAATGAAAAGTGGCTGATGAGAATTCTAAAGTTCACTTTTTAAAAACATGTAACAAGGTATATTTCACTTTTTTAACTTTGAAGATTTAAAAAAAAACACACAAACTGCAGAACATATCTACATGATCAGATTATTTACAACACGACTAGTGATGCTCTGTTGCAGTATTTTTTCCAGAAAATTCCACTTGATACAATGCTCTATAATTTAAATTCACAGTCTACCTTTGGATGCCTATGCAAGAACACTGAACAACCTAAGTTGCTTGTGTGTCATGGTTTCTGCTAAAATCTCATAAAATAAATTGACTAAAATCAGACTCAAAAAAAAAAAAATTACTAGCATTAGATTTTAGCTATAAAAATATGAATTTGGGACATGGGGGTACCTATTAGCTAGAGGATTACAACTGCACTAGCAATGTAATACCCATGTATTTTACCAAGGAGCTTAATAAGATTTCACTGGAGAGATGCTATCATATGCTCCAGAAATAATGTCCTGTACCTTCATAACCTGCCAGACACGGTTTAAGTTAAATAAAATCACTCACTGATCTGGGGCCACTTTGACCTCCTGGAAAGAACCTCTTACATTTAGATGAGACTACTTTAGGAAAGGAAAAAAAGGGACAAAATGCAAAAGCTATTTGTAGCTATATCCAATATAAAATAACATTCTAAACCATTATGGGAAGAAACCATTCATTATTTAATACAGACATAAAGAAGAATGAAAATATCTCAATAGATATTAATTTCAATTGTTTGAAAGAATATGCAGTGACCTTTTGAATTGTTTGCCTCAAGTTAGGAATCACTAGGTTATTAAACAAGTTCTGTAAGAAAAATACAATAAAACTGTCCATTTATCCTATGGACCTCAAAGAAAATGCTGAGTTTTTTTCCTCAGCTTTTTGCTGCTATGTAATACTATAAAAGCTGCACCAAGCCAGTAAGCATGCCCATTAAGACCTTTACCTAATAACTTCTTTATTTTGCTTTTTGGATTTCTTGGTAGTCTCTGCTTGTACAGGAACAACTTCAGGAACAGGTTCTTCAACTGCTGTATCTTCATCACCCAAAAGAGCTGCCTGCTGAGAAAAATCCATGTCCTGCATAAACGACATGCTGCGCTTCAAAGCTAACAGCCGTTCCTAGAATCAGAAAGGACAGAGCGGCAGGGACTTAACCTTTCCCTCATAGCCAAGATGCTATGATAATGGGATGGGATGGGATGGGAATGGCCATGGCCTTATTTTGTTCTTAATGTCTCGTTTCCAATGGCGATGCAACATGATTTGGTCATGGTAGCATGGCATCAGAATTTCTGCAGCCCAACTATCAAGAGAGAAACAAACAAACAAACAAACTGCATATGCAAAAACAACTATTTTACACAAAACTTACCATCATGGTAACACATGCACACACACACACACACACACACAGACACACACAGCAGCTCGCAAATAAACCTTCATTTGACAAGCCAACAACTGTATTTGAGTAAAAATATTTGTGACACCTCTGCAAACTCCTCTACATCCAGCACCTTTAAAAAAGTAGTGCTTTCTGGTTTATGCAGAAATAAAACTTAAATGACATCTTGTTTTCGAAGTGTCTGCCAGAAGTAAGATTTTACAGTAGAGTTTGATATATGTAGATCTTAACTGCTTCCACTAAAAGAAGCTCTTACAGACTTCAGTGGTACAAATAAGGTTAAGAAATAAGTAAAAATTACTGGTTTATAACAAGAATGCCATCAAACCCTGAAATATAGCAGCACTAACTGGCACTGCTATAATTCATCACAGATTGATGAAACATTTACCATTGTTACTTTGTTCCTTTTAAGTATGGTAACATAAAAACCCCCAAAGTTTCCGCTTTTTGTTTTTAATAGGTCTCTTACTTTGCTCATCATCTTAAAGCCTGTGTGCAGTATCTTCTTGGCTAGCTTGTAGTAAACAGTATCTGGTCTGTTGTAAGTCATTGCATTATCACACATCAGTTTAAAATCTGCCTGTAAAATATAAAACAAAAGAACTGTAAACATTTCAAGTCCTTTGTTAAATGACTGGAAGATACCACTCCATCTTGGCAGCTCTCTGAAGAACACAGTAATATTCTAGCAGCAGGCTCATGAATGCAAGCCGAAAGCAGAATTGCAAAGGTTTGAGCCTCTTCTCCTCACCTTCTACATTCTGCTCAATTTCTTTTGGAACTGGCTGTTGGTTATAAAAAACACACTCTTTCCTAAATGCCAGAAATAACATCATCTCCTTAACCAAAAGGACCAAAAATTGGATCAAGCACCAAGGTAACTTTTTACAGCATTTAATACCTCTGCCTCCAATTATCAAGACTTTCACAAAGACAGAAATTAAGAAGATGACATAGAGGAGGCAAACTGGGCAGACAAAGAAGTGCATGTAAACTACACTTCTAGTGATAGCCCTTTAAGTGCTGCAGAAAAAGCCAGTCTTTTGCTTGCCCACTTTGAAGTAGACCCTTTTCTTCTGAAGTGAAATGAATGAGTTTGCTGCAGCAATTGCTCCTCTTCTAAACGCAGGTGAGAGTTCTTGCAGACTCTACTCTTAGATTATTTATTGTCTTGTGACTAGCCTCAGCTAGTTATATTAGACAGGTACCTTTTAAGCAGACCTTGTTTCAGAGGTTAAAAATCTGCAAAATTCATTTCTGTATTAAGTTTATGGCTTTGTAGTTCTGTGTAACCTCATGTATCTAGAAAGGGAGTCCAATTCCTTTTTCACTATAACATGGGCAGACTTTTGGCAAACTTTTATTACTCCTCCAACTACCAGTAGAAACTAAGTCCTTGGAAAAAAAAAAAAAGTCAGTCTAAAATATACTGCAATTTTCATTTTTTTTTAGGTTTCTATCCACCTGTTTCAATACTGCAACCTTGCCTGTAACTTAACAGTCACAGAGCTCCCACCCAAAATTCCCTTTTAAGCTGTTGAATAACACAATCCAGCATGACAGAATTTGGAGACCTGAAGGCACTCCTGATGGCAATGCTATCATGAATCCTTTTTCACTATTTCCTATACATCTCTATAGCATATTTAACAAAACAGAATAATAATCTTTGGCAAAGCATCTGTAAGAAATGTAAACCATTCTTTGCTCACCTTGTTGGACCTTTCAAAAAAAGAGATTAACCCTGAGAAACAAGCCAATGTTGTCTTGCCATGGCTACCGTCATATCAACATCAGTCTAGGAAAAAGCAATTCCAAAGGCTGCTAATAATTCATGACCTTCATGAATCATTTAAGGAAAACTCCTCTCCTTTAGGAGCTAGTAATACTGTGAAAACATTTTTTACTGCACTGTCTGTAAAACCATGATGGAGCTAATAAATTATTACAGCAATAACAATACACATAATACCAAAGTTAAGTTGCAAATAAACTTGCCATTTAAGTTTCTGACAGAAGACAATTTCAAATGAAGTTCTATGGAAAACAGGATAACTAAAGATAAAAAATAAGTAGTTGTTATTGACTCATATACAAAATGCTTCAGTATATCCACAGGTTTCTTGCAGACAGGTCCAAATTACGTTTAAATCAATCTAACAAAGTCTAGAATAAAAAAAGAAAAAGGACCAAAAAAAGAGCTCAATGGCTTAAGTCTTTGTGATAGTCTTACTCCTGTTGAAGTTTAGCAGCATAAATTCCACAGAACTTTGGATGTTCTTGCTTTCCATAGTAATTTATAGAAGACTGTAGTAGACTCTGACAGATTATTTGTAAAACACTTAATATACAAAAGTGCTTAGTTCTGAAAAAAATGAGCATTAATTAATGAAAGAAAGGCTTCTACAGTTAAAAACAATCTTCAGTTTCTTACTAGTTGTGAAATATCTAAACCTTTATTAATTCACCTTGAATTCAGTGACTGATTTGTATTCATTGGCTGCAATTTTTTCCTTCATCGTACCAAAATCCATAGGGTGTTTTATTATCATGGAATATCCAGGAGCAATGGCATCCGTGACTGGAAAAGCAAAAAACCCATGAGGATCTTTCCTAAAAATAAAAACAATACATTTAGATTTACAGAAGCAAACAAAATGATCCTTGCTTTTGTATCACATTAATGACAACAGTACTACTTAAAAAAACAAAAAAACACTAGAAACATTCTCATAGAACAGATGCATGTTTGAAAAATTTCCTGATAAAGGAGAGCATTTTGATTTCACATATGTACTTCTATTCAAAAAGCAATTATTGAAATTTTCCATTAAAAATATCTTTCAATTCAATTCAATGAGCAAATGATCAATTCAAGCTAGTCCTTGTATTTCTTAATTAATGCTTGTATGCTTCCTATGTCTCTACAGTCCAACTCAGTCTTTTGGCTCCATTGAGGTAAAAAATGCCTCTGTTCATAAGGTCCTCAAAAATAAATACAATGTTTAATTTTTTAAAATTAGTTCCAAATTTAGCTTATTGCTACAAAATAAAAAAGGAATGTTTTTTTATGAACATGAGGTGCAGGTTTAAGAAAACAATAAAATAAAAAGTCTCTCCAAATTCAGAAGATTATCAAGTAACCAGGTCTAAATTTGCTTTGTATCTGATATTGGACACTGAATAAAACAAAATTTAACTAAAACAGTTATATTTTAAAATATTGTAGAGTTATAACTGGCTTTTAATACCTAAACTAAGTCATTAATATTTAATATATTTATAATAGCAATGTATCCTCTGCTCAAAACACTTATTTCCCTGCCCAATGCTAGAATTGCAAAGTTGGTAATAATTTTCCTCAACTTATCTTTAAAAACTACCAGGTCTGACATGGTTGCAAAAGTTAACAAATAGATTGCAGTCAGTTTCTAGGCACTGCTTTCAAACAGAAAACCAGGGTAAGATGTTGCCAAGTAACAAATATAAATATGCATCAGACATGGCCAACACAGCAATAATGTTTACTACCTTTGAAGCTGGCGAAGGAAGTGTTCCAGTAATTGCTGGATCGGTGTGCTCTCATTTTCAGCTGCATTTTGAGATGAAAACACAGATAAGTGCAATGAAACAGCATATGTGTATATTTGTTTATTTAAAAATATAAGTACCAGAGAGAAAAATCTTACTACAAGTACAGTTTGTACTGATCTGAAGCTGAATGTGTCATGAATTTCAAAGCAGAAGTACATCAGATTTCCAACCACACAGTACCTATTTCTTCTTTTTTTATTTCCTGAGCTTTTTTATCATATCAAAACCTTGTACCCATTAAGTCAGATGTAGTGCTAAGTTTAGTAGCTCTAAGAATATATATTAATAAGATTAAAATAATTACGTTATACATTTTTGCAGAAAAAGTGAAACCTGGTTGCTCAAATACTGCAGTTGGGAAATCCACATTCTTACAAGAAGTTTGCTGTGCAATTTTAATGGTTTCTTCATCATAAAACCCATGCAATTCTCTAAACCTTTCAATCACAGAGTGACAAACAGATGCAGATTTGCTGGCAAGAAAAATAATAATTACAATTTCACTTCCTGTACAGATCACACAAGAGACACTACGTGTTTACTACCTGTTGCTTCAGAAAGACTGGCTTTAGTGAAGTTTGAAACATCCAAGAAGCATCAAGGATTGAAAATCCAACTCTCCATCACAACAGAGGAAACATATTGCCTTTCTTAACCAGAATGGGTCAGGTAATTTATATGCTTTCCAATACCATTTTACAACCAGATGAAAAGAGAGTAATACAGGAATAGTTTTTATCTTGTCAGTTTTTAAGGCTCCTGACTACCTAGAGACATAAAACTCTGACCTGAAAATTTCAGTTACTTTGACACCTATGGCCACCATTCCTCAATTTAATGTGTGGTCACAGTTATAAAATTCCTTGGGATTACTTGACCAGTCAAAAGACAGTATTCCAAAGACAAGACTCACAAAATTCCTAAAGATACCATCCATTTTCAGGCTTATGTGTAACTAAGATCTTGATGTAATTGAACATTCTCTAAAGTAAAGGTTTCCACTGAGTAATGCTGAGTTTTAATTAACAAGCAACAGCTACAGGTAGAAAAAGACTGCCAAAATCTGAAAGGATTAAACATGCAGAAGTTGCCACACACAACTGACAAATATTTTGGCTGCTGATAAGAATTAAAGAATTGTAAATTAAAAACGAGTGGTGTGTGGTGTTTACAGTTGTGATATACATCACAACTTCCTTTCCATGAGAACAGAGATACTAAAACTCCATATAGATTAGAAAACAAAGAAAAAGATCAAAACAACACCTAAGAAGTCTCCACAAGAGTTTTTGCCCTTGAGCTAAGTGAAACTTAATTTCAGACATTCTGATGACTGTTGTGTAAATACTAAGGAGAGGGAATTAGAGGAGCTTTTATAATGAAGTTTATTCTGCCAAGGAACAGAAGCCAGAGACAGATGGCAACATCAGTCACCTGAAAACAAACCTACTAAAACATGGAAGCACCAAGAGGAATATTGACTTTTCAGATAGCAGAAAGTTCTGAATGTTGGAAAAAGTAAAGTCCTTGCATTTCAGTAAATCTTCATGAAAATTTTACGTTTTGGTACCTTCAAAAAAAAAAGCTTTGTTTTGTGTGCTTTTAAAAAGAACCAAAATCATTTAAACTTTCACACTGCTCACCTGGCTGAGTTCTGCATGCTCTGATAGGACGATCTGGAGGAGGCTCAACCTCCACCTTTTTCCCAGGATCAAAGTCATCAGCTTCTCCTTCAGTGTCACACTGCTCCTTCTCCCTTTTCCTCTTCTTCTCTTCCTAGGACAGCACAGAGAAGTATTTTAGAGGGATGTACTTGGAATGTGCAATCCCACACATCAAAATATAAGAAACAGTGATGCTTTTAATTTGGAATATTCATTCAATGCCCAAGTCATAATATAGTTTAAACATTACTGCATATATTTTCACTTTTACTTTTTCAATTTTCTTCTCCAATTAAAACTGAACTGTTCATCATTTGCTACCTTCTATTTAATACAGTATTGTTCTATCGTTCCTGCATGTTTATTGAAAAGACAAATTCTGAAGCTGTTTATATGTAAAACTTCATGATAATAAGCTACACCAGAGAGCAAAGAAAGTTCATTTACTATTGAGTAATGATCAATCTGTGGCTCCGCTCTCATCAATGTATTTTTGTTGTTTGTCACATTAAACAGAAATGAGCAAAACACGTGACAACTCAGCCAATAAAAGAATCATAAGAAACAGTGATGCCAATTAATGATCTCTTTCTGGATTTCAAAGCGAAGGCACACCTAAGCCACTCTTGAAGTCCTGCAATTATTAATCCACATTTGCATAGAAAAGCATGCTTTCATCAACCTTCCTTAGACTATGGTTTTGTTATTTAGCTATCCGTTTGCTTATTTTGAATGTATTAATAATGAAGTTCTGGGAAAAAATATCCAAACAACCCCCACCCCACAACTCAGTAAAGGCAACTGATACTGCAAAATCTTGTATGCAGGACAGCTAGTTTTGCTACATTTCGAGTCGCAGCCTGAAACATCTGTACTAAGAAAATTGTGCACTATCTGTGCTGTATTCAAGAACTTCTGAATGATCCTATGAGATCTGTCACTTCCAGTTAATTTTTTGTTAGGCTTGTATTGCTTGGAATTGATAGCTGCTAGCCAAAAACACAGGCAAAGTAGCACCAAAAAAACTGTCACATAAGAATAGTAAAACTACATGACAGGAAAGAATTAAAAAAGCAGAAAGGTCAGAGAACCATTACTACACAAAAGAAATACTATTAAAATTAAATTGTATAAGTAACTGTGCTGTCAATGTCTTACTGCTGCTTTTGATTAAACTCCCCAGCGTTCAACACAACAAGTAAGGTGACTACCTGCTCCTAACAAAGCCACAAAGCCTAGCACACAAGTTATTCCAAGAGCCAACCAAGTAACACAGTACTCAACAGTAACAACTTCAGTGTCCAGTAACTTGGCACACCTCAAAAAGATAAACGCAGCCTGAATTTATTTGAAAAGCTGGAAACGCCCTCCATAAAATGGTAGCAAAACATGTCTGTGACCCGGCTAAAAAACAAAACATCCTACTGAAAAACAGAAGCATTCATTCAAGACAAATAAATAAGGAAAATAAAGAGTTATAAGAAGGAAGCTTTTACTATGTTCACAGAATCATCAGTTTTAGATGACTTTAAATGGCAGTACACCAACTGACGCACAAGGGTTTTCCACACATCTGAAGTGCTATCTCCAAAACAATAAGCTTCTTGCAAGTGATTTAAACAAACAAAGTTCTGCACCAGATTTTAGACCTCACAAGCAAGCATGAAGGCTGGTGTGTCTGAATTCTAAATAACACAGCTTACCTTCCTCTTTCTTCTTTCCTCATCATCTAGATGCTTTTCTTTATCCTTCTCTGACTTTTTCTTCTTTTTTTTCTTCTTTTCTTTATGCCGTTCTCGCTCATGATCTGATCTATCATCATAGTAACTAGAATCATGCCCTGACCCAGAAAGTTCAGTGACTTCACTGCCTCCAACCTTAAGAACCAGCTTTAAGGGTTTTTCCAGAGGCTTGTCCACATAATCTAAATTAAAAGAAAAAATAAAAATAAAAATAAATCCACAGGGAGCTAATAGCACAGAGCAATTACAGAATCAGTCTTAACTAGGTCAGAAAAGACCGCTGAGATCGAGTCCAATCTGTGACCAAACACTACCATGTCAACTAGACAATGGCACTAAGTGCCACATTCAGTCTTTTCCTAAGCACCTCCAGGGACAGTAACTCCACCACCGCCCTGGGCAGCTCATTCTAATACATAATCATCCTTTTTGTAAATAAATTCTTTCCCAATATCCAACCCGAAGTTCCCCTAGTGCAGCTTGAGGCCATGTCCTCTCGTCCTGTCACTGGTGGCCTGGGAGAAGAGACAGATCCCCACCTGGCTACACCCTCCTTTCAGGCAGCTGCAGAGCAGTAAGTTCTCCCCTGAGCCTCCCTTTCTCCAGGCTAAACAACCCCAGCTACAAAGCTTCTCCTAGAACTACTATTTATAAGAATTCGCTGCACATCAAAAATATACACAATACGTTCGGAAAGAAAAACAATAGCTAAGACTAACAAATCCAAGCTAACATACAGTGGTGCTGCACGTCTTACGCTGTGATGTCCCACAAACCTCCCAAAACATAAGAAACCGGCTCCTGGGCCCCCCCTGAAAACATCGCAAGGTCCTTGCAGAGCAAGGTGAAATTAAGCATCACTCAAGCACCGCAGTGACCGGATCCCCTCAGGAGCAGCCGTGGGAAGCAGGGAGACGCTCGGGCTCACACCCCACGGCCCGCCCCGCGTTCCTCGGGCCGCCCCCACCGCCGGCAGCTCCGGCGCTCGGAGCAGGGTCTCTGCCCAGGCCCCCAGCCCGCGCAGGGACGCCGGGCCCCGCCGGCAGCCGGGGGAAGGGGCGGACGCATCCCGGCTACAAAAGGGCCCCCCGTGCCCTTACCGCTGTAGGAGGTGGCGGAGGTCGAGCGCCATTCTGCCTTCTCGGCTTTGTGCTTCTTGTGCTTCTTGCCCATGGCGGAGCCGCAGCCGGCCCCGCCGGAAGCGCTGGGGAGGGCGGACCCTCCCGCCCGCTGCGGAGGAAGATCCGGGTGAGGGGCCGGCCCTGCCTCGCCCAGCGCGCCCTTTACAAACAGCGGCTGCCGCGGTGGGTGCCCTGTGCCTCAGGCTCGCCCGCGCTCGCGATTCCCGTCGCTCCGGCGCGTCGCTCCCGCGGCCGTGCCTGCCTGAGGTGATTCCCTGTCCCCAGCGCTGCGGCGGGAGCGGCGCGCCCGCCCGTCCGTACGCGAGACTGCGCTCGCGGCGTGTCCCGAGGCTGCCGTCGCCATCTCCTGAGGGAGGGAAGTGCCGGTCCCGATCCTGGTCCCGATCACGGACCCGGCTTTTGCGGTGGGCGGCGTGCACCTGGACGGGGCACCGGGAAAGGGCCGTCCGTGCCGTGCGTGCGTAGCAGCTGCTGGAAGTCGCTTCTCTTTGGTATCGCTTTTCCCCTAGGAGCGAGAGAGATGGATGACGCCGCTGGAGATTTGAAGCAAGCGCTCCCAAACGTGTGTGACAGCGTTCAGATCCACGTGGAAGTTGTCCAGAAGTCGAGCAGGTCTCTGATCAGAGCATTGCTTGCTGCCACTTGCGCCTGTTTTGGCCTCGTTCTATGCGCCTGCAAGAGCCCGCAGGACCCAGCTCTGCTTTCTCTGTGCTCTCCCGGGAGCTTCCTCACCTGTGTCTTCCTAAGATTGAACAAATACACTTCTCTCGGTTTCACCTTGTGGGTCATGTCATCCAGTCTCATAATCGAGTTGTTGGCCGCGTTTTGGGTTTGCCCCAGTTTATCCTTGTCTCTTTTGTGTCGGTGCTCACAACTGCCACAGTATTACAGATGTGGTCTTACAAAGTCAGCGGATGGAAACAGCTGCTTTCCCTAACATCTGCAGTCTTGGTAGCACAGCCTCAAATAAGGTTGTCCTCATTTGTAACAGAGGACACACTGCTGACCTATTGCCAACTTGTCTACCAGTACCTGTGGGCCCTTTTCTGCAAAACTGCGTGTCATCCAGTTGGCCTCTGATTTGTTTTCTTGTCTGGGTAGTGGATGGGGAGCTAAGATTTCATGTTTACCTTTACTGAATGTCAAAAAGCTTCCAGTCAAACCATATTGCCAATCTGCAGAGGTCTCTCTGAACAGCAGCCCTGCCCTCCAGAATACTGACAGTTCTCCCTGCTTTGGTGTTATCCATAAACTTGATGCAGTTATGTTCCGTCTCATTGTCAAGGATGCAAAAACGGTGCTTGTCTCAATGCTAACAGCACCACACTGCCTTTCCCCTCCCAAGTTACTGACAACTCTGCTTAATCTTTGTACTAATCACAGCCCTCTGAGCTGGACAGTCCAACCCTCCTTGTCCATTTATCTGGTTCTTATCTTACCACTTTGGATATCTGGAGGATATGGGAGAGCATGATTGAGGTGTAAAATATCCACTGTGGTATTTTTGCTTGGCTTAACAGAGATCTGAGAATTTGCACTGGTTAGAGATTATTTAAATTGCAAAATTAAGTTAAATCTTCAAATGCTATTCTTTTTCCTGTAGTTTTTGTCTTTTCTGGAATTCTTTTTATGTCCCCATCCTGACATTTCAGCTGTTCTGAAAGTATAATGAAGCTTCTAAGCTAAGCTTACCAAATTCAGTCTGTAGCTTGGCTCTGAGTCTTTCTGGGTTTCCTGCTAAACCACAGATTACATAACTGCTTTCCATTCTTGAAGTCTTCTAGTTGTCTCATTCAGTATCCCCTGACAGGATCTCAAACAGAGCCAGTTATGATGTCTTTTAATGCACAAATTAAAAGCAACTATCAAGCTTGTTGCTTTTGCAGACAGACTGAATCTGACAGGTTCTTTTTTCCTGTAGAATCTGACAGGTTCTTTTTTCCATCTGTTGCAGGAGGGTTGAGTGGGTTTGGGGGTTTTTTGTGTTGGTTGTTATTTTAGGATTGAGGTTTTTTTTGCTGGTTGGGTTTTTTGGTGTGTGTGAGATGGAAGCTGTTTTCCATGAAGGCCTCACGTATGAAATAACGCATTCCAACACTTAATTCAGATTTCCTTATGAATGTCAATGCCATAAAGTAATGGTGTTTCTTTCTTGTTAGTGTGGCCAAGAAAGAAGATATTAGGATGAGTGTCTTAAAGCTGTTGAACAGACACAACATCGTGTTTGGTGATTACAAGTGGACAGAGTTTGACGACGCTTTCCTTAACAACAACGTGCAGTCTGTGTCGATTGTGGATACGGAGCTGAAACTGAAGGACAGACAGGTATTCCTGAGGACAGACAGGTATTCCTGGTCAAGAATGTCCAGTTCTGTTTATGTTCAGCCCCTGAACTAGTTGTAGGTAGACTGCTGGTACCCTAAGGACATAAGCAAGACAAGGTCTACGGGATGATGTAGTATCTCTTCTTAGGCTGATTAGTATAACTAGGAGAAAGTGGTAAATTTTTTTTTTTTTACTGCTCAGTAAGGTCTGAAACAGAGGTACTAGGCTTCAGAGATACATGCCAGCTGAGAACTGTAACTTTCTTTTGTTCAACTTGCTTTGAGTGAGAAATATGACACATAAGAAATCTTTTTATGTTCATTCTAGCCTATTGACCTGAGCATGAGCAGTCTTTGTCTTCATATTTTTCATCTGAATGAAGAAGGACCAACCTCTGAAAACCTGGAGGAAGAGAATGAGGATATCACTGCAGCTCACCACTGGGTGCTGCCAGCAGGTACCTGCATGACATTTCTGGAAGCTCTAGAGCAATAAGGAAAATGCTGCAAAGGCTAAAAGTGTTTATAGTTACCTGTTAAAGGTATTATTTGTATTTATTGTTTGTCTATAGAGAAAAACATGTTTGGGCTTTTTCCTTTGTAGTTTTGACTGAACTACTGCAGGTGATTCCAAAATACATCATATATTTCTGTAATACTTGTGGATGTGTGGTCTTGTGGTCTAAAATATATAGTCATAATCAGAAGCATGCAATTTTTTAACACTGGTGGTTGCATTCCAAGTTTTATTTAACTTGAAGACCCACAAGAAACTCAGCACTTTAAATATTCATTTTCTGGAGCCCACTGCTGGCTTCCAGCCCCCAAGACAGTACTGCTCTTATACAGGAAACAGACAAAGTAAAGAGATGTAGTCCTTGTCTTCTGGAGAGGAAAAATAAGGCTTGATATAGCCAGACCTGCCTGTTACTGTCTTGTGCTCGGGGAGGTTGGATTCTCTGCCTAGAAGGAGACCACAGGTGTGAGCTTTAGCTCAGAGAGACAATAATTTTGAAACATTTCCTACTCTTTCCATGTTGTGAAGTGCCTAACTATCCATTACATTATTTTTCAGGAAGAGTTAAATCTGATACATTGACATTATTGCCACGATTCTGTGGTCTATAGCTGTTCGGTCTTTCTTGCTTTTCTTTGCTGAAAGTTAGAAGCCAACAGCTAGGAATGACTGATACTCAGATGGCAGCTTTAGTTTTTTACACATTTTTCAGCTACATGTTTTTTTTGATCCTCTACATCTTGATGTTGAAAAAAAAAAAATTGCTAACTTGAATGATAAAATTTGCCTTAGAACCCTCCTCCTACCACAAGTTTTCATTGCTCCCTTGGTGAAATGTAAGTTCATCCTCTACTAAGGATGGAAGGAATGATATTTTTCATTTTGTGTTAAGAAATTAACATTAATTTCTCATCACAATTATTGAGGGAAATAGAAGCTGGGAAACTGCTCTACTTGTCTGTTAGAAAGTGGTGTTTGAATTTCGAGAAAAATAACTTTTTTTTTTCCCCACAGATGCTTTGCTTGCTTTCATATATCTATTCTTAATTCTTCATTTTAGTTGAGCATAATTTGAAAACTGTTTTATGCTGCAATGATGAGTTACAAGTTTCCAGATTGATTTATCCTAAACAGGTATATAATATATTGCTTTTGCAGCTGAATTCCATGGCCTTTGGGAAAGTCTTATCTATGACACTGAAGTAAAATCAAACGTAAGTTGGAAATGTGTAGCAATTAAGATTACTTGAGGAGAAGTAAGATCTGAAATTAAGCCTGTTTGAAGTTAGCTGCATCCTGTGGAGATATGGGTGTAGGCTGGGCAGAAGGGAATGTGAGTCTAACTTTGTTTCTGGCAGCAGCTAAACAGTTAATGGGCTTGGCAGTAATGTCAGCCAGCACTGTTACTGTTCATCCAAATACGTATTCAATTATTTGACCAGGGTTGAGTGCCCTGCCACTTGAATGCTGGCAAGACATTGGAAAGAAGCAAAACATTTCCATGGGGTCATTTTCTAGCTTGAAGATCCTTTGCTTTCATCAGAGGTTGTTTATAACTGCCAGAGCTTGTGGAACAGTAATACTGTAATCTGAAATTTAGTAATTGTGATGCAAATAAAACCCACAAATAGTTCTATTCAGCTTCTAAATGAAGTTCTTGGACACAAATAATTAATTCATTAGGTTATTTATAATACTATAGATACAGTATTCTCTCTTAAGTCTTTATAATCAAATACAGAAAAGCAAAAAATTCCAGTGATTGTACTTCTTAATTTATAAGGTAAATATCAATTAATATATCCACATTTGTCTAATTTATGGAACAGCTTTCAAAGTCATCTGTGAAATGACAAAACTATTTAATTAGATTTGCTGGTGTACTAAATAACAGCAAGCTGATCACTGTTGAGTGTAAGTGTATATGGGCAGAAAGACATGGTTGCTTTTAATGGCTAAAACTAGAACTTCTGCTGTAAAATTGTGATAAATCTTCATTCTTTAAACCATGGAAATGCCTGAGCTTGGTTAGGTTCTATGGGCTCCAAAATGGTTGCTGTGAATTTTCAAGGTAGCACAGTGTTGATAGAATTTTGAAAAATATGTGGATTAAGTTCAGTTGTTTTTGCTGTTGTGTGATTACTCCATCTCCAGCATGAGATATGCAGGAGCACCATTGTATTGTCCCATCAGTACATAGGGATCAAAAGCTTGTTACAGGTAAGA